AACCCAAACCATTCTGTGAGTCTAAATCCACTTCAGGGTTACTGCACACTCAGATTCCATATCTGTTTTGGTTAGTCATAAAAAAGAGACAATGCACTAAGCGGTGTTTTGTCAGTATTGCAGGCAGAGTGAGGAGAGAAAAAAGAATTTATAGACAAAAATTAAGGAAAAAAGAAAAAAAAAAATCACACTCATATCATGTCTATTGGTCTTCACTGTGGTGATCAGATGTGGACACTGATAATCTGTTAACTATGTTTCCACAAAAGTCAACTAAGAAAAGCAAACTTCCTGTCAGTAAATAACATTCCACCACGCAGGGTCTGCACCTCCACTCTATGTGTGTTGAGGTCTGCAATTCAAACACCTTCCTACCCAGCCACAATTTTAAAGCAAAACCTGGAGGAGGTGAGCAGCCCAGCTGGAGTTACGCTGAACCTTCACCTCAGCAGGCAACTGTTTGTTAACTTCAGCCAGTCCCATCTGGGTTGTTGTTCACATATACCCTGGCCACCCCAAATTTCACAGGAAGGGGAGAGCTGATAGACAAAGTAAAACGGTAAAACCTCATTGCCTCTATTCAGTGCCCATTAGTGCTTCTCAAGCAATTGCAAAAAAAAAAAAAAAAAAAAAAGAAAAAAGGGAAAAAAGAAAAGGAATAAACAAGGCAGGAGGTTGGGATAAAAGGGCCTTAGCATTCCAAGCAGCTGTGCTGGTGAATGTGTGTGTCCCACCACACTCATCACCAGGACCACTGCTTGGCAAATACCTGTTCTCATCCCACCCACATTACAAACTTGACCAAGAGGATAAACACTGCGAAGCAGAAGCCACTGATTAAAAAAAAAAAATGTAGAATTCTTCTAGAATATTACTCTTCTCTAAGAATAGAAAAAGTACCAGGACTTTTTTTTTGTTTTAATAACTAACTGACAAAACACATATTTCTAACAAGAATTCTGTAACACCTTACTACTCTGAAGCCTCAGACTTTTGTGCTTGGACATTTCATCACACACTTGACACACACACCCCTAATACTTCCCGAGAAGAGCAGAACTCCCCAGGATGCCAGAGGAGCTGCTTGCACCGCCATCAGTCCTGCACTTAACAATAGAAAGCAAGATAAAAAACCCGCTCTCTTCATTTACCAGTTGCTTTTCATAGTTCTCATGAACATTTTAAAGGACTGTTAATTTGTCTCCCAGCCAGATAAAAAACCTGACATTGCTAACACAAGATCAAAAGTCTAACTGTGGTGGTTGGTATTAAAAAGCCTTTATTATTTGCTACTGCTGCTACCACGTAATGAGACAAAGCATGTCACCAACTATGCACACCTCACTTCGGAATCAAACCTCCCTGAATAAATAACCTGCTTCTAATAAGTGACTGACCAGATTTGGGTCTCACGCTCACAGTGAGTGGGGCTTTATGAGTGCAACATGTGGGAAGCCTTGATAAAAGTTAAAACTTCTGCAGGAGATGATTTTCTGAATCTTGTTAGGAAAGTTGCCTTCCGTTAAAGCCTACACTCAGAGAAGTACAGGACTTCAGAAGTACAGTAAAACTTCTGATTTTGAGTCTGTAACTCCCAATGTCCTATCTCAGTGTCTTTATCTAGAGATAAGTATGATATTAAAACAAAACAGAGCAGACCTAAGAGCCAGAAGTAGCATTTTAATGAAAGTAAGAATTCCAGAAAACACACACAGAGGTTAGATGAAGAATGCATTAAAGAAATAATATGTATTTTAAAATGTATATTAAAAACATCCTTGCTTTCCCCAGTGGGGTTTTCTGCTCTGTAAAAATGCCCACTCAACTGCTTAAATTTTTTTTATATACCACAAATACTGAAAAATCAATTACTGACCAAGAAAGTATATATATTTATATACATATATACACACTTTAAAATAAAGGTATAAAACAAAAAAACTAAGTGTTTTTACATTTCATATAATTCCCTTAATTTGCATCATATCCTGTACATTATCAGAGTCTGACTGGATTATGCACATCAGTTTAAACATGAATAATCTTGGCCTTTTTTAACAAGGTGGTTCCTTAGGGAACCAGCTGAGGGAGACTAAGATCATCGTTCCATTTTCCGTTAAAATTCTACCCCTGTCAGCCTGTGAAAACTAGATTCCATACTCATCAGGAACATCTAAATGAGTGATCCTTCCTCCTGCCTGCATCCCAAATACAGAAACAAACGCTTGTACTCCCCTATTTACATTACAATACCTGCATAAAAAGGAACTTGAAATCTATCTGTAGCCCATGAGTTACTGCTGTTCTGCCAGACCATAGCTGAGGACAGAAAAAGGACACTTTTCATTAGAGATTTTTTTTGTTTCTTTGGACAGCAAAACCTTAAAGCAGCCTGGGGTTTAAAGTGCTGGAATTGGTCCCAATGAAGACAAATTAGAGCGCTGAAAACAGAGAAGATGGTCTATATAAGGCATCTTAAATTGCACTCACCACACTGCATTGCTTTATGCAATCTAAGTCTCACTGCAGTGGATATGAGGTATGTGTTAATATTATTTGAATACACAGGATTGCAGAGAAACCTTTTAAAAAAAAAAAAAAAAGAGCAGTAAGAAAATTTAAAACAAATGGATCTGCCCACAAAGTTTTATTTACAATACTTTCCTCTATTCTCGCTCATCTTCCCACTGTACAGATTTGATTGCATGGATAAAGTTTCATAATGACAGCTTAATTCAATTCCTAAAGCCACACAAGTTACAAATCCAACTCTATATTCACATTTTGGAGGATAAAGCAACACAATTTTTATATTTAAGGCAGAGCAAGCCAGAAAAGAGGGGCTATCTCAGGCTATAACATATGAATCTTGATGAAAAACATCACTAACACTCAAAAGCCAAAGTTACTAACAAGGCAGCTTCAGAAAAAAGCCCACTTCATTAGACTGATGTACTATGCCAAGCTTATTCCATCAAGCAAAATGTTTAGATTTGTTTGGTGGTTTGTTTGTTTTTAAATCTGAAACATGCCCAACTTTCTAAACAAAGCTCCTGCAATCAGATGCAGGAAACCAATAGCCGATTCCACTACTTTGAGTGGTCTATGCTTCCCCTCTTCCCCAGCTATATCCAGCAGGGATAGCCTTGGAAGCAGTTTTCTATTCATCAATCCAAAAAGTATAGCTCAGACAGTGGAAACAGGCTCCATTACATTAAATCACCAATATATTTCATCCTGATTTTCCCCTAGAATGAGTCTACTGCAAGCAAAGACAAGCTCCATCTGACAGTGTTCCCTCTCAAATAAACGAGCCCATTCTCAAGTGGAAGCCCCATTGCATCATTCTGCTTTTTCACGTCCAAGACTGTAGGATCTCCTCTAATGTACCTCCTTAGCTTTCAGTGCTGGGCAGACTTTCATCAGGTGATGTTGAAAGATGGGTAGGGTTAGCTTGCCTTTGCCTGCAAAAAACTGGGCAAATGCATTATTAGTTGAGCTTTGTCTCAAAGCCCATCCAAAATTTGGTGGTCTTGCTACCAAATGGGCAATTCAAAGCAATAGCACAAACCTGTTCTCAAAGGGTTAAGAGAAATCAGCAACGTGCTTGAAAATTTGCCACAAAACAGCCTGCAAGTAGCAGTGATTTTGGGCAATGACAACCTGTACTGGATCTAGTTCAATGACTTAAGGTAGAATGAAATGAGTTTAAATTGTACCCATTTAAAACTAGATACTGTAGATAAAAATCCAAATGGAGAATTCATACCAAGCCTTTATTATCAAGGCCACTGCACAAAACATTGAATGCTATTTTATTCTGGAAGTGAAATACTTCACATTTCTATGTGTATTAGTTGTTAGATTTATTTTACTGATGACAGCAGGAAACACTCTTATTTGTTCAGTCACTGAATTAATTGTTATGGCCTTTTTTGGACCTTAAAAAAGACACTCATTTTATTTGCTCTATTAAATCCCAAAGTGTCAGATTCAGTAAAAGCTCAATTTTCCACTCTGCAGAAGTCACCCCCCAAACCCTGGTTTTAGGCATTTAAAGATCAAATTGACTGATAAGTCTTTTAAAGAATCACTTTTTTTTTTTTTCCAAATATTCTTTTATTTTTCATTCTGGTTAAAAACATATCCAATATGATAAATTACTGTCCTATACCCAAAGTGTCTGGAGCCCACACATTCACACACAGTATTTAGTAGTCATGTCTGCTGCACACAAACAAGAAACAGCAGTTTATGAATGAGAACAGACACTGAATTTGTCTTTAGGAATCCACCTCTGAAGTATGCTTATTCACCGACATACCAGACACGGAAGAATTGACCTGGTATAAGATTAGTTAGCCGTTTCATGAACAGTCACCCATATAAAAATCCACATATTTGAATACCCATGGAACCTCTCTCTTCTTTTACCTGCCCAGGGGAAAAATAAACCAGCAAACTAAAAACACTCAAGAAAAAAATATCTATTCCCATTCTGGTTTTTACCCAAGTCATTTGGAAAAAAGTCTCCATAGTGCATAAAAAACAGGGATTCCATTATTTTAATTATCTTCATCTAGAGGAAAAAAAATAGAACAGTACAATGTCCAAGAGGTGTATGGGCTAAAAGGCAATAGCTTGTTTCTGTACCATCAGCTTCCTCAGACTGTTAGCTTTGCACCTTTGCATGTCTTAAACAGGATGATAAATGTAGTAGGCAGGTCTTCACAAAGCCTGGATTCTCTAAGACTCACCAAAATAAACAGGATTGGGTTCTTACCTACCTTAGATATTTCTGGCTCCACTTGTCTCTTGGGTGTCTCTTTCGACTCAGGCCCTTTTGGAGTACTGGTGTTCTTAACAGAGGGCGATCCCACTCCTTCACCTTCAAGCTGCAGATTAATACCTTCTGTGGGGACAGGGTGATCAATACCATTTGGATTCAGATTGCAATGGATAGCTGGGGAAAAAAATATATGAGACAGAAAACATTGCTTAGGAAAGAAGAACCCAATGTTACAAACATTTATCACAAAATACCAAGAAGCACCGCATGATAGTAAGCAGAGCTACGTCAGATCACAGCAAAAGCACTAACTGTACCCTGACATGGATTCTGAGGGAGCTATTTGAGGAAGAAAATGAGAGGCAATGCAGCACTGTATAAGGCTATTAAGTGCAGGCTACTGTGTTGAACTGTACTCTCCTGGAGTCACTACAGCATCCAAGACCCTCAACTTCCAGGTAGGGCAATACATTTCATGCATTCATCATTCGGCCATACCTTTTTTTCCTTTTCTAGGCATGCAAGTTCAAGTTTTTCCATTACATTTTCAATTACAATAACGTTCTAGGTGCTAAACAATGTGGGATAAGTAAGCTGTGCACAGCAAGTCAGCAACTGTCTGCACAGAGTAATGACTTACCCAGCTGATTATCTCTCCTTCAGCACTTTGTACTACTGCCAATTACCACCTACACCATCCTAACAAGCAAGAGGGATGTGCTCTCCAGGAGCATATAATGAGTTGTGCACTAATGACAGCGGAATAAGGAAAGCAGCTGGAGGAAAAAAATAAAACAAATGCAAACTATACCACAGAAATGCACATTTAGAACTACTAGAAATCAGTAGTTTAATCGTTTTCTGTCCAAAATTTCACAGTTCCAGCACTCACACAGAGTAGCCTTAACAACCTTCTTGGCACATGTGGTGATTTTAAAATGTGTGGATCCTAAGGCAACTTGCCCTTCACGTGACCATCAGATTTTGGCATTCCTAGTCCAAGGTAACTGCGTTACTTCAAGCGCTACTCATAATGGTGCCGACTTCCCAGGTACGCAGAAGAACTTTGCGGTGCGGTGTTTGACAGACCTGAATAGAAACCCAAAACACAATGTAAAGCCAAAATAAAAGCTGCCCCTTTACTCTTGCTTGGCTTAGATGCAAAGGGTGGGGAGCAGAGGAAGGAATCAGAATGGCCAGTTTCTACTAGCTACGGATCAGCTCTTGAAAGCTTCTCAGGGGAGCCAGGCTCAAGCTGCCAGAGAAAGCAAAGGGTCCCTCAACTACAGCACCTTTCGAAAATTCCAGAGTCTTAATTGAAAACTCTGAGCCTAAATTACAGCAATTCTTCGGTACATAATTAAGCAGAAGCCTAAAAGTTGGCCTTTTACAATTATTTGGATTTTTTTAAAATTCCCAAGGAGAAGAGATCTGTCCAAGCACTACAGTACCTACATCTGCAAGCTAGGGATGGAAACATTTCCTATCTTCAAGTCAGAAGAACATTACATGAAGGATAATTCAGTAACACCACTGAATGATGGAAAGCAGGAAAGAACCAGAACATGTTTTGTTACAAATTGCAGCCATTTGGTATAGAAGAATAGAAGAATATGTCACTAGCCCACAGAAAACTAGTAAATGAAACTAAAAACGGGTAGTGATCTAAATTTCAGTCTCACTGTGAGTAGCTGAAGGGGTAAGGCCTGGACTGCTTTTACAGTGATGCAGAAGAGAGGTATCTCTCTCCAAGTAGCCAATTCTCTAGCTGACAGCATGAGGAAGAGGAGGTGGAATCACTAGACTACATCACCTCCAGAACTGAGCACTGCAGAGACCTACTTCTGGGGAAGGAAACAGAAGAGGTGAATGATGCAGAGCTTCTGGAGGTGAGGCAGAGTTTCTACTGGCCACCCCAGGAGAAGGATTTCCAGCTAAGAATCCCTTCTTTCTCAAAAGGGATCCTCCATCTGCTTAGGACTTCATATAAAGTTGTGAGTTTGTTTTAAAAGCACCGAAAACCCTCTGAGAAGTTTTTTTGGGGAACTCCCGGGTTTCCCGTTCAGACACCAATTTCTGAAAAAACAAGAGCATTTAAAGAAAAGCATATACATAAAAGAGGTCTGCAGCAGTCTGTGTGGCTGCTGTTCTATCTGCCATCTTCCTGTCTCACTTCAGCAGGGCAGGCATCTCCAACTTCTTCCTGATACCTAGAGACCTGCTACAGAGCCTCGTTTCCCAAACCAACTCCAAGGAGCTTTTCCCTGAGTCTAGCTGCAGCTGCTCTTGCACATCTCTCTCTTCCCTGGTTCAAACCCTCTGTGGTAGGCTGGCTGAAGAAGAAAATGCAAAACACACTCCCATTGTTCTGCCATTTCCTTCTCACTGGTGAGGAGGGAAAAACAGTCGACTGTCTTCAAGTCACTCCTTCCCTCCAACTGGTTTTCCCAGCCACACCACTGAGTCAATTCAAAACATGAATATCTAAACCTTAATAATGTTAGTAGAGGCATTTCCTTACTTCTGAGTCCTTTATTTCTAGGTATATTCCATACCTACCCCTTCTTGGGTTTTGCTTGAGTCATGGCTACAAGAGTATGATGGAACTGGCGTTCAACACAACCGCTGCTTGGTTTTTCCCTTGCAGGGCCTCTTTCTGTGTCAGAGAAAATGCAGAATCCGTTTTCTTTCTGCAGGGAAGCTAGCAGACTTTACCTGCTCTGGCTATATCACCGCTATAGGGAAGTATCCAGAACCTGCCAAGCTGTTATGATGAAGGGCGTCTTTAGGGCTTTTAAGCTCCCACTGGAGGTGGGTTATATTTACATCAGCATGTCTTAAAACACCAAAAAATTATCTCTCTCCTAGATAACGTCCACCTATCATTATCTATCTCCTCTTGATGATATTTACCTACCTGAAAGAAAGAAGTAATTACTAATTACTACTTTGCTTATCTGTCAGACCACAGAAAAGCCAAGACAGACTTTTTCACAGGCCAAAGAGGATAGAAACTCTTGTGTTAGTAGCCAAACTAATACCCTCCTTCTCAAAGAAAAAAAAGGGAGATACCCTAGCCAATCTGTATACGTAGTCCCAGCACACCCTGCTCCAGCAAGGGCTGGAAATTAGCAGTGAAAACACATGGTATGGAATGCAATACACAAAAATCCCTCCGTCTTCTGCAAAGATCCTGCCTGGCTGAGCAGGAAGACTCCTGCATACACATTTGAAACGCTAATCCACATCAGCTGCATCCAGAAACAGGCAGGTTTTGGCTGTCAGCCCCCTTCCAGTGCTCGCTAGAGAGAAATCACAAAGCACAGTGGGATTTAACACTGCCTGGAAGAACACTGCCAGCAGCAAGCTTCCTGTGGACTGCAACTCCTCCCTTCCCAGTGCCCCCAAACAATTCGGATTAGGGAGGAGGGTGGTAGGGGATTGACACGGAAAGCCTTCAGGGTTACAGCACTGATTTACCATGCATTACAGGGAGCAAATGATCCAGATTGCTGATAACATGGCTGCCTAAGCATCACCTGGATGGCTGAAAAAAAACCCCAAGAAATATATCACATGGCAAGATGCTGCTTGACTCGCAGCCCATCATTCTTTCAGGAGTAATGAATGTTACTGCTGTTTCAGCACTGCTTTATACTGGGCTCCTTTGGGATACAGAAGAGAGAAGACAATGGAGTCTTTTAGTGACAATATACATGTCCATTACCTTTTAACTGAAAAGCGGTGACTGGTTAAAAGAAACACAAGCTGCCTGAGGAAAGACTTTTCCGAAGTTGCTGATATTGGGGGTGAGGGGGGTAGGACAACACTTCTTTTATTTCCTAGGAGTAGAGGGAGAAGGAAAGAGTTCATCTCTCTCCTTCACCCCCGTCACAGTCTTGGCTTACCATACACCTGGACTGAATCTGCTCCTGAAGGAAGACACACCTAGAAGAAGAGCCTCAGCATGGGGAGAAGGCAGACTGAAGGGCAGGAGGAAAGAAACCAGGTGAGGATAAGCAACCTCAGTCACTTGGAAAAGCTAATCTCTCTTTGCGATGAGCCATCTTCATGCAGGCAGCTCGATAGTTTTCCCCTAGTGCTGTCTCCAGCTCCCAGCTACACAGAGGATAAGGAGAAAAGAATACTTGCTTGCATGGGTCTGTTATTTCCTATTACCACGCAAAAATACATATTTCCATCTCTGTGGCAAAGGTGGAGCTCTAGCCTCCTTTTAAATGTGAATACAAACCATAATTGCTCCCTTTCCAGATTTGCAAAGAGGGCAAGGTTTGGTCAATAACATCGTATTCTTTTCTTAAATCAGCACCTTATATAATTTTAGCTAGATAAGAGCAGCTCTAAACTCAGGATCAACTGTGAAAAACTACAGGGCTTGGGGAGCTGACAGCACCCAGGGTTAACATCCTGCAAGAACTGAGTCTAAGCAACACTTGCGAAAGAATCACAAATCACCAACTTTATCGCAACCCAACTGCTCTGACCCTCTTAGCTGACTCTTCTTAAATCTCCTTCAGGACTTAATGGCATTCATCTGGAAAATTCTACCTACAAAGTAGTTTTTTTGCCAAAACACTTGTCCAGGCTCTTACTCTCATTACCCTGGTAGGAGCTCATGCTAGCTCACCCCACCCGCAGCATTCTGACCATTTCCCACCCACACCACTGCTTTGGCAACACCCCTACCATCTCAGCACCTCTTCATTTGTACCAAATACACCTCATCACTCAGACTTTGAAAGGCCATCAAGACACTAAACCTTGCCTCCGAATCAGCCGACAGTATCAGCCTAATACCACTACATATCAGCAATATCATTAGATTTTGAAACAGAACATCTTCCAATATTCTACCACACAGTCTCATTACTCATATCTCATCCATGTGTGTCAGTAATACAACTCTTCATCCAGTTTCAGAGCACTTAAATTCTCCCTTCCCTGCTGAAAACCCCACCTAAGAGTTGATTAATGCCATGTCTCTCTCCATGCTTCCCAACAATTGTCACTTAAATTGGACTGAAAGCTGTCTGTGGTAGTAACTTGTTTTCTTTTGGGGAGGGAGGATGGACATTCTGTACAGCTCCCACCGCACAGCAACAAGCACATGACGAATGGTGCTGGCAGACACAATAACATAGATCCGAAGATTA